TAAGCACCAATTCCCGTACTTGTCTTCCCATATTTACTATAAAATAAAACATTACAGATATACCCAATGAAATCAAGGGAATATACATTACATACATTAACATAACATTTTTGTTAAGGAAGAATGGCTTCGTCTGATAAAGGTGCTTCTGCACCTAATACAGGAAGTCGACACTTAAATTGTAGAAAAAATAACATCTATTTTTATTTTTATTTTATTATTATTTTAAGTTGAAAATTCTGACAAGGGTCTTCTTTCCTCCAAGGCAAAGCCATATAATTATATTAAAAAGTGTTATGAAAATTTATAAGAATTTGTTTCAATTTTTTAACAAAATGGTCCATGCAAAACTTTAAAAACTTTTCAAGTCGTCCACGCGATTAGGGATTGTACCTTAGTACGCGAACACTAGAGAATCTCACCACATCGATACATTTTAACGTTTACCTTTAAGTTTTTATCGACACATTATTACTGAATATAAAAAACGACATGTAGGTTCAAAGATTTTTTATACTATTTTTATAGTTACGATTAATGCTAAGTATTCTGCAAATTTAAATACATATTTTATTGACAAATCCTGCTGTAGCTTTTGATTATGAACAGCTACCAAAATACGGAAGATACCTTTAAACATCGATGCTTTGGCGCGCAATTTTTCACTTAAATTCACTAACGGGACTTAACAAACTCTCTATTGGCTTGAGAATTATTTCCAAACCTCTAAATCATACTCCTTCAGAGTCCCTTGTTCGTTCCTTCGTTGTGATGTATATTATTTTGTTGTTACAATTTACTTTTAAAAGAAATCATGACGCTAAAAAATGAAACACGTTGATTTCAATCAACTAAATTAGTTCACAAAAATTTAACAAGGAAACAAAACTAATTTTCTTGTATATCTCTCGACGGAACTATAGACTTCCGCTTTAGTGTTTTCGCATACAAGTAGCGCGACTGATGAAGAATAATGGAGCTGGTTCCGTTTTGAGCTGGCCAGGGCGGCGGAGCAACAGATGCCCAATAAAAGAGGGGTGCGCGCGTTGCTGGGTTACCTATACCCCCAACCTCTTATCTCTTCGACCGTTCAGGGGCTAATTTTAGAACAAATGCTGTACATGAAAAATTGGACAGTAACGGTGCATAATTAAAATTGAACGGCATTTATGCTTAGTTGCATTACATTTTAACTGCTAAAATGAAGCAGAATATTCGTGCAATAATGACATTTCAGAGGGGACTCCCCCTCCCCGTATTTGCTAATGTTATACTTGTGGTGACTACCACCATAATTTAATTCTATAACGGTACGCTCGTTTTTATTCTTAAGTCTTTCTAGTTTGCATATTGTATCCATAGTTTTTAAGGACCAGACAGTTAATGACTTGAAAATAATAAAATTGTCTGTACACCAGCCCACTGAGCTGTCCTCTAATAGCGGAAGCATACGAGGCCGTGTGCAATTTGATTATTTATAGGTGGAGCTACGTTTCAATCGATAAAACCTTACCGTTGTAGCGGTCATTACAAAGTTTTACATTTTAGTTCATATTTTTGCTATTACAATACATTAAAGTATGAATTAAAAGTATGTATACAGCAACCACACCATTATGTCTTTAGTGTTAAAAAATGTTGACCATATAATTCAATTTAGCAGTCAAATATTGTGCACCAGGTTTACTACCTTAAACCAGTTAGTGAAAATTAACCCATTAAATTTTAACAATTACTAACGAACTATTAGCATCCACTTTTTATGCAATATGATCGGAAGTTTTTTCGTGTAAATATTATTCCTAACCTATTGACATTGGTGGGATAAGGGCAGAAGAAAGAAGTTAATTCATTTTTCTGGGCTTGCCAAAGAGCCGTCGTGTTTTTTGTTGGTATTATCGTACTAGAAATCAAATTCTTATCTGAAAATCCTTGAAAGCATCCAAAATAATATATGCGTGAATGAATAAAAAACTAAAAATTGACATTCCAGCAGTAGTGTAATTATTTTCTAAAATTTAAAATTATTTCTTGTCCTATTTGGTTATAAATGAGATAATGAGAAATTACTGAGATTAAGTAAAATGGTATTTTTTGTCGTAGATCAATTAACAAAAACTTTCGACGCTACGGGAATCTTATTGCAAAGACTAGCACTTAAAATAGAAATAATTCTATGGTCCAAGTTAAGACTTCTCAATCAGATTACCACAGTAAAAAGAAACTTTAAGTAAACTTTAAATTCTCATTTTTGTTGAATTTATGAACAGCAATGAAAATTTGCTTGTAAAAATAAGTAGCGTCTTGTTTAACAGCACATAAAGCTTTAAAACGAATGTAAAAATTATTCTAATTAAGTATTATATGTGAACTTTTTATGTTACTCTTATAAATTAATCCTTACATGAAAATAAATATTTATGCGCTCCCTAGAATTCGAAATGTCACTGAGAACTGCTATTAATATACCGGTATTCTTCATTTATTTGTGTCAAAAGGTAGCAAACGAGTGGTTCTGGTTGACATCTACAGCACCTGCGTTGCAAATGCGTTACCAACATGTAAGAAAGTGAGACCAGTTACCTCCCCGAACAGATGAAACACGTAGGTTTGATATTTCCACTTCGCCTCGGTCTCCTACTTATTCGTGCAACAGCATTAGAGAACTCTTTACTTTAAATAAAATAAGAGTGTGCAATAATTGTATATTTTATTAAATTACTAGTACGTAACCACTAACATGATATTTGAAAATTGTTTATTAAAAATAAACTCAGTTTACTCTGTGACTTCAAAAGTTAGCAAGTGCTAACATATAACAACGTCGGTCGTAAATACTAGTCGTAACAACTATTTATTTATAGTGTTTATTACGAGTACTTACTATAAATAAAAAGTTGTTTTCATGTAAATACTAGTCGTAACAAGAGCCGTGATAGCTCAGTGTCCGGGCGCTTGCTTTTAATTCAATATACTCGAGCAACCTGAGTTCGATCTCCGGTGCCGGCACCAATGAAGGTTTTGACTTTAAGTGCTGACTTATCACGTGCTCCGCGGTGAATGAAGACATCGTGAGGAAACCTGCATATTTTCGAAATAATAACAAAACAATTTTTTTTCGAAGATATGTGAAGTCCGCCAATCCGCAGTGAGGCCGCGTGGTGGACTATGCCCTGATACCCTCTGTATAGAGGAGGCCTTTGCCCAGCAGTGGGACATGTATAGGCTGTTAGGTACTTTATTTTACTATGCAATGATGTATATAAACTTAAAAAAGAGTGCTCAAAAATAATTACTGTTCAATACAGCAAAAAACAGATACACGTAGAAATTAATTATTTTTACCCACGACGGAACGGAGACGGTAAAACTACTAGTCTGATTTTGATGCAGTTTGTGGTTGATTAGTGAAGGTTCTTAAACAGATTTTAACACGGTAGTAACTCACTGGAGGACACTGCAGTAATATATTTTATATTAGCTCCTACATATTAAAGACATTCATGTCCAAAAACTACTAGTCCGATTATGACGCAGTATGTTCTTAAATAGATGTTACGGTGGCAAATCACCAGGGAGCGCTGCAGTAAACATTTATTTGGGCTAAACCCAAACTACTAGTCAGATTTTGATGCGGTTTCAGTAATGGGTTTCTAGTTGATTAGTGAGGGTTTTGTGAATAGTTGTTACGATAGTAGCTCACTAGGGGGCGCTGTATTAATGTATTTTATTTTATAGTAGCTACTACATAATAAGGAAACTCGACAGACTTCGATAGGTAAGTACTTCTGTAGGAAGTAGCGATGTTGAAACTAAAATTATTTATATTTAATAATTTATAACATACGTGGTACACGATTTAAGCGCAAAAATGTATGTGGAGCAAAAGACGAAAGCAACTTTATGGTCTTTCTTCTATTTCCTCGGTTTGCGGCCTGTGTAAAGTGCTTCTCAATCGTAAAAGCTTAAAATAAAAAGCTTAAATTAAATCTTTTTACTTTTATTATCTCGCGTTACATATATTTTTTTAAGTCGGGAGTTTTTTAAATAATTTTATCCTTTTTCAATTACTTTTTAACCGTTTTTTTTTTCAAAATTTTTAATTCTGCTTTTTATTCTGCCTTTACACATTCCCATTCCGTTAGTTTTAAAAGCAAAGGACCTTACCAAGTTTTTAATTTACTTTTTTTAAAACAACTGCAACCCTACGGAAATTCCATGGGCGGCAGTAACAGTTATCATTTAACATAAGTTTAACCACCAGCTCTCGTGCCACCTTCTCATTTAAAATAAAAAAAAATCCTCAGAGCTCGTAAAGCGAATACCTCAAAGTTTATCTTTGAGTTTTGGAAATAAATGAAAATCACATGGCGCAAGGTACTTTATGGCGCGTGACTCAATATGTTTCGACACCTGACCTAATCAAATATTCTGTTGTTTGTTTCGCAACATATCAATAACTTACACTTTGCATTTATAAGCTACACCTTTGAAATCTCAAAATGTTAGTTTAACATTCTTTTACTAAAAAAAACTTGAATTTCTGATTAAATTATTGTAAAATTTGTCAGTAATAGCTGGGAACATATATTTCTAAATATTTTAAAGTTTATTCAATTTAACCATTTATAATATTTTTACTGGTGAATTTTAATCTGATGATCGTAAGGCTTAGGTCCATAATCATGACAAATGTCTAACTGCCAAGCCAACTGTCACTGCTGTCAGTGAGAAGTGCTTAGAGGTTATATTTGGTGGTTAATAAAATTGAAAATTACCTGAACACTGATATTGCACAACAATAACCAAGTTTTAATATAGTGTCAGACTATCAAAGTAGTAGTATATTATTATAAATATAGTTCCTAAATTATTTAACCTAATAAACTAACTTTTTTATAATGACTTCCAAAGGAGAGATTGTTAAGCCAAAACATATTAGGATTTATGAAATGGATCACTTTGAAAAACTGTTAAGGGGCATTAAGGTGGCAGCATGCATGTTAACTGAGTCACATCAAGTTGGTTTGTATTATATTTATCTTTAACCGATTTAAAAATTACAGCTATTTTGATTAAACAAAGTATTTATAATAATAAAACAGCGGGATATGTTTAGGTAATAGTTTATAATGGCTATTGAGTTTCAATCACAAATCAAATAATTTTCATATACAAGGTGTTAATAAACATAAAATTTCTGTCAAGTTACATATGCTTCTAAACTTGCTAGTATCTTCACTGCAATATTAATATCAATACATATAAAATCATGAATATTGTAGAAATTGCTATTTGTAAGAAAAGTAATTGATAAATTATGTATCTGTTATTTTTATTATATTCTATAAATTAACTTATGGATCATTTATTATCCATAAGTAAATTTAGTATCTTATTCTTGTACCAAGCAAAGTTTCTGGCTAACTGCAATTCTGGCATACTTACCTTATTTCTTTACTTAATTAGACATAGTATAAATATTTTTATATATATGTTTTATCTATATCAAATTATATTCGATGAGTGCTGGAGCAGACGGGTTCTGAATGGAGACCACTTCTCGGAAAACATAGTGTCGGACGTCCCCTGCCAGGAGGACCGATGACCTTAGAAAGGTCGCTGGTAGTGGCTGGATGAGGAAAGCGGAAGATCGTACTCTGTGACGTACTTTTGGGGAGGCCTATGTCCAGCAGTGGACTGCAAAAGGCTGATTGGATTGGATTGGATTGGAAATTATCTTTGTCTTAATATTAGTCTTGTTAAATGGTGATTTGTGCTTTATGGTAGTAACTACGTATACACAATTTATGATACTGTTACAAGATAAAACTCTTATGAGTTAATGTTTGTATCAGTTTAATAAGTTTGTAATTTTTTTTTATACAAATAAATTTAAAAAAAAAATATGTTTAACAGATCAATAAGATGATGCCAACGATTATTTAAAGCCTCAGTTATTTTAACTTTCTCTAATACTCTCATGCTATCAAATTATATTATTTTTCTTAGCAATTCTAATTTATTTAAATATTAATTAACATATTTTATGTAAGTAATGTTATAATGCTACAACAGTGGACGAGGCAAGTGTTTTGAAGCGTCTTAGTGCCTTGACAATTGGTGGTCCATCGGATGGCAATTGCTGCTCTTGTTGTGGAGTTGGACCATTCCAAACCCGAGCGCAGCAAACAACCCACTATAAACACCACTGGCACACCCATAACTTGAAGAGAAAGCTTTTTGGCAAACCACCACTGAGTTTGGGTCAGTTTAACTCCAGACAAGGTATGTTATTTTAATTTTGACCGTGTAAAACTTTTTTTCTTTAAAATATTTACAAACAATACTCAAACACATTTTTTACTTTAATTGATATCTATTCGATGTTTTTTTAAAAAATATTTTGTGTACAGATGATAACTCAAGTGTTTCTGGTAGCGACTCTGAGGGCGATGATGGTGGTACCAAACCATCAAGTGATCTGTTTGCTGCTGCTACGAGGCATTGCAAAGCATTTTTTACAAATCGTTATGGCCAAGTGTTCTGCGTCTACAGATGTATTTTGCACCATAAAAAGGTATTTTATAGAAGTTGTGTTCGGTAATGAACATAGACAATGATTAGAAAAATACACACAGCCATCACTATATATTATTTGTCATGCAATGTAAATACTGTCTTATGTAACTTGTAAGTGTACCACAGGTAAAATTTTATGTAGAATGTTTGCAAACAAACCACAACCAGCTGTTTAGAAGGTCTTCGCATTGGATTGTTTCATAATATCACACTTTCAATAGTTTTAAAAAAAATCCATTCCCTAAAAATCCATTGGTCTATTTATATTAACTATTGTAGTCATGTCAAATATTTTTTATTAATAATTCTTTGTGATGGTGATTACCAATGCCATCCTTAATGCTTTCATGTTTTCTTTTATGTGAGAAAGTGGCAAAAAAGCTGGTGGTTCACCTGATGTTAAGTGATAACCGCCTGCCCATGGACATTTGCAACACCCGTAGGGTTGCAGATGCATTGCCACCTCTTAATAATGTGCGCCCCGGCTACCTCACACACCAGACGAAACGCAGAAGTGCAACACTTATACTTTACGCCGGTCTTCTTTGAGGTTGTGGTACTAACCCGGATGGACCTCCCCATTGTGCAACAGCAAACACTGTTGCGTGGCTCTACCACCATAGATATGAAGTTATAGAAAGGTGTCTTAAACAGGGTTAAATGAAACTAGATAATGGATTATATGTATTGATAATTAAATATATATAATATAATTGATGATATAATTGAATTTAATACATAAATCATATATATTTATATATGATTTATGTATTAAATTTTAGACAGGACTGACAGTTGTTTCAAAGTCTTAATGTCAGAATTAATCCAGTTGTCTATTATTTTATCATTTATTTGATATCGTAAATTGACACCTCACATAAAAACGGCTTCTAAACATTAGTAGTGTAGGCTTAAAAACTCAATGATTAATTCACAATGATTAATGAGCTAGCATTAACAGTCACACAGCCCCAAGAATAAACATTGATAAGAAAATAGTTGTGTAGCAACCCTTTGTTATTAAATATAACACGTATAATCCCCGACTTGAACAAAATACGTTTGCTGTAAAGAAATGCATTAAAAACAAATTGGATAAGAATTAGTTATTTTCGCGATCTGGGGGAATCTACTGCTTAGCTTAGTGGTTATGGGCGCTTTACTCTGACGTCACAAGTTTGAATCCTGACAGCGATGAAAGATTTTTCGACAATTTATCAACACATTTTAGGTTTCATCATAAATAAGGAGACTAGCACATAAAATAACTATAGATATATGAAATAACTATATTGACGCAAAAGATGCATAAAATAGTAAGTGTAAGCGAAATAGCTATATTAGAAACAATAATCTTAACATTTGCTTATATGGCTTTACGTTTATGAAGAAAAAACAATCAGAACAATATTTATGATTTACCTCAGTTTGATAATGTTCAATTGTATGATGTCTATCCTACAATTGTTTGGCTTTATGGTCACAATAGTTTCTTGACGTAGCCCCTTTAGGATGAAAAATCTTATCTCTATTCTAATCTTATGCCTATTCTTATATCCATATTAATTGAATTAGTATCACTACATAGTATAAAACAAAGTCGCTCCGCTGTCTGTCTGTCCCTATGTATGCTTAGATCTTTAAAACTACGCAACGGATCTTGATGCGGTTTTTTTTTTTACTAGACTGATTCAAGAGGAAGGTTTATATGTATAATGCATTAAACCCGTGCAAAGCCGGGGCAGGTCGCTAGTTAAAAAATAAAACAAAAAGAGTTCCCTTTTTCTCTGTTGTCCGAAATGGGATTCTATGAACTAGACTCATTGACTTCAGGAGGAGCTATCGACCGATGGTGATGGCAACGCGTGGATAGAGCGATGTGAGCGCCTCGCAATCCCAGGGTACCAACGGTGGGCGATAGTAATGGTGTCCGGTGGCCATTTCGCCGGTGCCATATTCTCCGGCGGCGTGCCGGTCTTGCATAAAACCCACCACTCGTACGTGACTCGGCGAGGCCAGGGACAGGCCCAAATTAGCCGGGACCAACACGGCAATGCGCCAAGGTCGGCAGGCGCAAGCCTGAGGCGGTACAATCAAGCCCAGTTTCTCCAGGTACAGCATCGCAAGAAATCGGTAATATACAGCGTGTCGTTTCAACCGCGACAATAAATGAACACACATATAGAGGATATCTTTTTAAAATTATATTAAACATTTAATTCTTTAAACATCAATATTTACAGATTTATTAAATTTTCCAAAACAAACAATTTTAGAACATCCTTACGTATAAAACTGTAACGTAAAGTTCATTTGTAAAGGTCACAAAGCATATGAATGGGTTGGATGAATTAAAAAGAGATAAAACATACTGTTAGAAGGAGACATTTGTAATGCGACGCTGTGGAAACGAATGAAAAAGTCTCTGAATGTATGAATCAGTGAGTTGTATAGGATGTAAAAAATTTTGTTTCTTTTTTATTTAATTAGTTTGTTTGAAAAGTATTTTTTAACGCTTATATTTTTTTGTGATTATTGGCCTGTAGCGTTAGACGTGTCGCGATTTATTGTCGCGGTTGTAACGACTCGCTGTATACCTATACCATGATAGTAACCAATGCACTCTCAATTATTAAAAACTGATATTTGTTCTAAAGTTCTATTTGGTATATGATTGCATTTTTTTATAAATCGCGAAGTCCAACCCTATTATTACTAGTAAAACCGTATTATTAGTATTGATGTATACCGCACGACACTATATTTAAACGAATACTAACTACTTCTTAACTGTCGAAAATGTCCGTAACGAGTACCGATGCCAAACTTTAGAGTTATGAAAGGATTGTTTTCCAAGAGCGTTCGTTTCGTGAATATTTTTCTGCGTTCGACAAGACGAAATTTAAATTGAATGTGTCTATCTTTTTTTTTTTTTTTGACAAATGATGATTGGCCTAATATGTATGGTTATTAAAATACTGGTGATGATACTTTTGAGAATGGTCGATTTTTACTTTAACTTTTTCAGCATGTTCAAGAAATCGTCGCGGGCTGGACTGAAGATTTAATCGGGTGTGCGTTGGTTCTCTATCGAGCGGTGGGGTCAATGAACCAAGCTGCGCTTTTTGGGAAAAATTCCCCGTTAAATAGAGACGATCCTCGAGTTAGGGCACTGCCTTTCCCAACTAAAAAGCCGACTTTTAAAGAGGTGAAAAGGGTACACGATACTCTAGCCGGTATTGAAGTGTACGGTAAGGCAGTAAACAGAATCTTACTTACGTAATAGGCCAATACTTATTCGGGTAAACTTTGCAATGATATAATAATAAATAAAACCTTGAACAGATACTATGGAGCTGTTCCAAAAGGCGTTGATCGCGTCGACTGCCAAACCAGTCGCCAAATCTGGCTCCGACACAGCAGTGGAAAGAAGTAAGAAAACTCAGAAAAGTCCTAACAAGCCTATTGATAGAGCTAAATCCAGGTATGTATATAGGTGAAATACCCAATGATCCATAACCCCCATCACACAATCTTTTCAATGTGTTCTATCCTGCTTATATTACTAAATTTTCTGACTAAGCATAGCAAAACCTTTATACGCAGGGCCGTATCAAGTTTGTGGGTTCTGGCTAGGCTCCGAGTTCTGCATTCGGCGGAGCTTAGTCTACGGACTGAATGCAAAAACATCAGTTAAAGTAAAATAAGCAAAATTATGTTAACTCCGTGGCGCAGTCGCCAAGGTATCGGCTTCGACGTCGAGGGTCGTGGGTTCGATTCCCACACGGAACAAATAGTTGCCATTTGTCTGACCCACAGATATTTGTTCCGCATCTGGGTGTTTGTCCGCGTGAAATTTATGTTTGTAAAAACGTCCTCACAATACAGGATAATGTTATCCCAAAGTAAAGGCAATGTTTTAAAAAAAAATATTGTCCTTAAACATACGAACTTGCCGTTATTACTTAGGGAGCGAGCACCACGTGAGCTACCCACGCAGCTAATGTCAAGCGAAGACGAGGGGCCGTGTTTCATCGACTCGGAAACTCCCGTGGGCTGGATCAGAACACTATCGGAGCAAAGCTCGCGCGGCTTCATAACGAATTCGCGGAAGGACCTCCTGAACGACACCGCGATAACCAGCCCGCGCAGTTCGGAGAGCGAACAAGGCCTTTCGACACCGAAAACGGACCAGAGCACCCCGAGGAGGAAGAAAAAGAAGAAACAGGACGAGAGCAAACCGGCGAAGAAGACACCCCTAAAAATCCCCGCGAGTGTACAGAAGGCAAGTTACACACGCTTCGAGGTTAACGAGTCCGTCATCATCAATATTACTTTGACTTCAGTTCGCTTAGCTGCTAAAGTTTGCTGTTACTGATATGATTAACTGGGAAAGAAGTTCTAACTCAACCCTTCCATTACGTTGTTGCTAAATAGTTTGTTGGCTGAAACGGAAAAGTGAAATGACTTACTTTTAAATCTTGTTAGCTTTTCAGAATGAAAAATTCGCTGAAATAATGGGCGATTTAGGATGAGGAAAAATTCGATGCGCGTCATTAACATGCTATTGACACGTGTTTTTTTTTTTTTTCAATGACGTTGGTGATGCAATGACGTTAAAATTTTTATATAATTTGCTTTAATAAAATTTGATCTCTCTAAAACAAGACTAGTTGTTCGATAGTATTTTTTTCGCGCATTTAAAAATTAAAGTTCCATAAAATTTTATAACAAAATTTAATTAGGTATTATTTTAGTTTAAGTTATCGGCATTGAAATATGTCTTTTGCAATAATTTGAATTGATTCAATGATTCGTTCGTTTAAAAAAGTTTCAGTTCAGTTTTAACATTTCGCTTTTGTCGGCACTCCCCATGACTGCTCATTTCTTTTTTTTTTAACTTTAATTTAGATGTGGAACGCGATTTCAAATAACGAATTCCAATCGCTCGAAACTATCATCGAAAGCTGGGAGGGGGATGACTTGGAATCGGCTTGCAACACACAAGATCCGGCCGATGGCAACACTGCTCTGCACAAAGCCGCCATCGCCGCTAAGCCGGAAATGGTCACGTGAGTATTTACTGCATGTGACGGGCGACCTTGTGACTTAGCCGAATGCATAAGACCAGGCGAATGCAACTGTTTTGCGTTGTTATTAAGGTTCAATTTTCAATAATTGGTGACTGAAAACTACATTTTAAGAAGTCTGTTATTACTTTATTAACGTGTGATCAATAACAGATTAAAATTATAGCTTAATAACAATTATAGCTTGTAATTTATCTGAGCAACTTATCACTTAATATCTAGTGAATTGAAAGACTTTTGTCCTATTAGTCAGCCACGCTTGCTATTACTTGTGCAACGGTTTACTATTGAAGTAGTAAAAGATAGGTCAATTAACGTGATATTATAGACATTGTTACATGTGTTATTGTCAAAAATGGTGCATCATTAGTGATACTGCACCAACCTCGTTTATCTTTATATATATAATTCTTCTGTACGTGTGTCACTGAACTCCTCCTAAACGTCTGGACTGATTTTAATGAAATTTTTTGTGTGTTTTGAGGTGGATTCGAGAATAGTTTAGATTCACAGAACTATTAAAAAAAGTATTTAAGTAAATTTAAAACGTGTGCGCAGGACAACGTCTGTCCGGTCCGCTGGTGTAACGATAAATTATTATTGCAATCTAATGTAAACTTACATACGCATCTGCTTTTAACGGTGGTAGGGCCACGCAGCGGCCTCGGTTGTTGTACGAATGGGCAGGCTCGTCCGGGTAAGTACCACAACACAGAAGACCGGCGTAAAGTGGAAGTATGACAAATACTTTCGCGTTTCGTCTGGTGAGTGAGGTAGCTTGAGCCCAATCACCGGGCGTAGCAGGTGAACCACGTGTTCGCTTGGCAACTCTTCACATATAACTAAACTAACTACCTTAGCTAACTAATGTATAATCGTTTTGTTTGTCTTAATCGTTCGATCGAGGTAACCAACATGAGGTCACATCAGGCATATGCTTGTTACTAAACATCTCTTAATGTTTTATACGTGTATTTTGTGTGGGAGGGGTAGGGTAGTGATTCCCAACGAACACTGCGACGAAGAACATCTATTGTGGTCTTCCCTTTCCGAAAACATTGCCCCTTACTTCAGGACGACATTATCCTGTTGTAAGGACGTTTTACAAACATTAATTTCACGCGGACAAACGCCCAGATCTAAAACATTTATCACAATGTCGGTCACACAAATAGTTGTCTTGCATGGGAATCGAATCCATGACCAGAGCCAAATACACCTTAGCAAATGCGCCACGGAATCGACATTTCTTAACGTAATTAATCCGTAGTGTTCGTAAAATCCTAGACCCTTTTTTTTTTACTTGTTTTCCAATCTTTATTTTATGCAAAAGAGGAGACAAAATGGCGGAGGAGGCTCACCTGATGGTAAGTGATCACCATGAACCTTTGCAACACCGGAGGGTTTGCAAATGCGTTAGAAAAAAAAACGGTTAGTATAAAGAATTTGCTCCATCCAATACATGCGCTTGTATTAAGTTTATTCAAGCTCTGTTATTGATGATACCTATTAGTGTTTGTGTAAGAGCTGCCATCGCATACGGAATTTATTTTTCAGGCAAATTCTAGCTGTTGGAGGTGACCCTTGCGTCAAAAACCATCTTCTCCAGACGCCCTACGCTGCGTCGCCTCACCACGACACTAGGATTGCCTTCCGACTCTTTCAGGCACAGTTTCCCGAAAAATATAACTACAACAAGGTATATAAACATTAAAATGTTTTTACGCGCGCCTTTTACTTTATAAATTAAAAAAAAATCTAAATATAATAGTGAACGACTTTTTCCAACCTACCTAAAGCTACCATTTTCTTATTTAAAAATTAAATTTAACTCCTTACTTTAATTTTCCTAACTAAGCAATAATCAATTTATAATATAAATAACTCGAAATTTTCTGTACGAAAACATACTTAGATGTTTTTGTGTGAGATGAAACAACTTTCGACCGCAATTATTAACTCTCTTCGGTTGTTCTACAAAGATAACGTTATTTTTTCTTAAGGAATGTTACATGAAGTATTACTATGAAACTCTGTTTTAAAACTAGTCGCAAATACCGGGCCCCCTGACTCCGGAGCTATTGCAAGAAGAGAAGGAGCGGAAAGCCCAACAAAAGAAGGCGAAGCGGCAACGGGATAAGGAGAAGCAGGTGGAGAAGAATAAAACGAACCAGTATTTGAAGTTAACTGATGCGGAAAAGGTTATCTCATTGTATTCTTCAAATCTATATCGAGAGAAAGATAGAAGACTCTTCTTTTTCTCTCTCCCCCTCTTCCCCCCCCCCCCCTCTCCCCCACTCTTTGTTTTTATTATCAAAGAGCGAAGAGTTTGTTTACTTTGATTATCTAGTCCTCGTACAACTTTAAATCTGTTCTTTCCATTATCCATAGGATCTTAAAAACGTAGACATAGAACATCCGTTTATTTCTCCATAAATAAGGGATGATTTATTTCGGCCTCAATTAGTCGGGCCATATGTAAAATCAATAGGGCAGGTCTCATTTTAAACCTGGTTGGGTAGCTGCTCAACTGGTAAACGTTCCCTGCGGCCTCAGTTTCCAGATTTCATAGTGTGTACGCCGCAGAAGGCGTGTAAGAAGTTTTCAACCGACACCAAATACGGGGGAGGTTCGTAATTCGACTATATTTTTATGTTTGTTACCCCAGAACTTTCGGCTGAGTTAACTGATTTTGATGATTTTTTTTTTATTTGAAAGCTGGTGCTTCCCATGTGCTTGGTGCTCCCCAAAAAAATAATTATCGTCGATTCATTCGGCCAACAGTTCTGAGGTATCAAACATAAAAAAAAATACAGTCGAATCGAGAAGCGCCTTCGATTGTATCTAAAAACCTAATAAAAAATAATGCGAATTGGTGTAGTGGGTAGTGAACCTGCCTCTTTAGCTAGAGGATGTGGGTTCGATCCCCATTACTACAAAAATAATGTATGCAATAATGTATAGTGTTCTTTCAGTGTCTGGGTGTTTATGTAATGAATAATACATATATACAAAAGAAAAATATGTTTAAGTATGTTTATCAGTTTTCTAGGACAGTTAGTCCGGCTAGGTAAGTCCCACTTCGACGCAGAGGTCAATCGGCGAATCCAATCGGATGGGCAGCGTTCGGGAAACTACGGCAAATCTTCTCGTCGAATATACCTCAATGTTTGAAGACTAAAGTCTTCAATCAATGTGTGTTGCCAGTGATGACCTACGGAACCGAGACGTGGTCCTTCAATGCTGGCCGTATGAGGAAGCTCAAAGTCGCTCAGCGAGCTATGGAGCGGGCTATGCTCGGTATTTCTCTGCGTGATAGAGTTCGTAACGAAGACATCCGCAGTAGAACCAAGGTAACCGACATAGCTCAGAGTATTAGCAGGCTGAAGTGGCGATGGGCCGGCCATATAGCTCGTAGAACCGATAACCGTTGGGGAAGAAAGGTCCTCGAGTGGCAGCCTCGTACTGGCCATCGCAGTGTGGGACTACCCCCCACTAGATGGAGTGACGACCTGTGCAAATGTGCGGGAAGTCGATAGATGCAGGTGGCTCAGGATCGTACTTCGTGGCAGTCTATGGGGGAGGCCTATGTTCAGCAGTGGACTCAAACAGGCTGAAATGATGATGATGATGTTTATCAGTTTTCTAGTACCCATAGTACAAGCGCCGATTAGTTTGGTACTAAAGGATGTTGCGTAAAAATGTGTCATAAAATATTATAATCAGCTTATATAAATATGTATCGAAATATATAATATAACACTTATTTCGAATAGTTTCCTTTTCAAAGATAAACTGATAATTCAATGCTGTATCACATTGTAAACGCAAGCACTCGCATCTTTAGAAATATAGTGACCTTTTCACAAAATATCTATTTTTGGGAAACTTAAAGATTTGTGCACGTATGAACAAACGCGATGATTGGAGTGGAGGGGAGTGAAAGAGACCGAAGTATACGTTATGTAGCTTTCTACGCCAAAATCGGCCCTTGTTAAACGGTTTTATTTAGTTCGACCCGTACGGAATTTGTTTGTTTGGGTCAAAATTAGAAATTGAAATTTAAGCACCTTGCCGTTGTCAGATTGATCTGAAATTTGGTACACACATTTAATTTAGATGACAATACAATATTAACAAAAAAAATTAACAAAAAAAAAAACATAAAATAAAACCGTTTAACTTAAAAGTTTTTAAACGGTTTTATTTTAATAAGAGTAGATAAAAGTAGCGTTTTACGTCCTTTCCTGACAAAGTTAAAATCATAAGGTGCATACTGTAGTGTTTTAGTTTTAATTTTATTTTAGGTGAAACGGGATGAGCCGCGCTGTTTCCTCTGCGGCACTCGCCTCCCCAAGCCGCCGTTCGAGTACGACAGATACAAGTTTTGCACCGTGCGTTGCCTGCAGAACCACAGGAACGTCAGGCCGCTGCATATGAGCGCGTGACGAATCAGATTCAACTTTGTGCCTGTGAAAATAAAGTTAATTTTTGTGGGACGGTGTCGATACTGTTATTTAACGATAATAAACTAAACTGTGCTTTGTGCGTCTACTGTTTTTTGGTTGCATAAATGTCGTACGTTTTAAAATCTATACAAATAACTTATTTATAAGCGATAGTGGTTAAGAAATGTTGTGATGTGCCTTGATCTTAAGGGCTGTGTAAGATAGCTCTACTATGCTGATTATCGACTTGGCATACAGTAAATCAATATTTGTGATGTTCCTCTGTGGTGTACCACAAGGATTTATTGTAGGTCCAGTATTATTCGAATGGACAAGAATATAGTTAAATCCTTACTAATATTATAAAGGCGAAAGTTTGTATGTATGGATGGATGTTTGTTACTCTTTCACGCAAATACTACTGAATGGATTTTAATGAAACTTTACAATAATATAGCTTATACATGAGAATAAGGCTGTAATTTATAAACATATTTTATGAATATCTGTCTTTCTGCCTGAATATTACGCCTTCAGCCTATTCTGCGCAGACATAGTCGCGGGAATAGCAGTATAGTTGTTAATAAATTAAAAAGAATTCAATATGCTTTAATTACTCAACAATACACTTCGTTATAATGGGAATTCAGTAGTTGGTTTTCTTTAACTATATAGTTTACTATGTATAAATTTTATTTATCTAAATAATGACTGTTTTTAAGATTCTTTTATATCGATTAAAGAATAAAATACAACTTTGATGAGAAATTATCAAATGGACCATTTTATTGTGGCGAATTCCGACGAATAGAATAATTTCCATTACATATGTGATGGTAGAATGTCACAAATTGAACAGTGTAAAAATATATAGATAGGTGAAATTAAATTCTTAAAGGAAGTAATAATGTGAAACAAAAATAATGTGCGTACGTTAGTTGTACCATTAGTTTTTTTGGTGGTAGGGCCACGCAGCAACCTCGGCTGTTGCAGGAACGGGCAGGCTCGTCCGGGTAAGTACCACGACCTCACAGAAGACCGGCGTAGAGTGGAAGTATAACACTTTCGACCGGAGCCCAATTTTCAAAAGGTTGTCAACGCACCTGGAACCCTCGGGTGTAGCAGATGTCCATGGGCGGCGGTATTCACTTAACATCAGGTGAACCGTCTGCTCGCTTGGCAACATTTCACATAAAAAAATAGTTATTTCTTTTATTTAGCCGAATATTAATACTCTTTTCAAATGAAAATTAACGGAATCTATCGCGTTTAATTTTGATTTTAATTTCAGACTTTCCGAAAACTACCGAATCAAAACGAAAATTCAACGCGAAAAATCCGCATCTTAGTTTTTTTTTAACAATTTAAAAATGTTATTGTCCAATAATTATTTTAATATCTTTAATAACAAAACAGTTTAGATTAAACTTCTTTACCGTTTTCGTAAAATTCCTGGAATATAGATTTCATTGATTTTATTTAATTGTTGGTAAGTAATTTTTCTTTTTTGAGAACAGCAAAATATAAATTGTATTTATATAAATAATATAACTATTTCATCGATTGATAAAATCTTGTTCCGTTTTAAGCTATGCTCAACGTTTTTATCGTGATATATGAAATCTATTTTGAATCAAGCGTTGCTATCCAGCTAAACAAAATGCTTACGCTGCTGGTCGGAGCTACGATATTTAATATTATATTAATTCAATTATTTTATAACTAGTCGTTTGTGGTGTGATTCTCATGATTTTTATAACTATATTTTAAATAATTTTTATTATATATTGTACTGCCATTTAAAACATTTAGTAATAAAGATATGAATTTTAAATAACTGATTTTAATTTCTACTCAAAACGTTCTGTGGAGGTTAATAGTAGAAAATAAATCTGGTTCTCAAAGGGCTTATATTTAAAGCATGCTGCTGAGTCACCGTAATGTTTTTATTTGATTTTAGACGTAAACTTATTTGTTAGAATTTATTAAATATTATACATACAATAAATAGATAATATACAGTGTCCATATACTAACCGATACTCCTGACTCCGTTTAAGTTTTTTATTGTATTACCAATTACACAGCAAGACAAAACATCAATGAACTTGTAGTTTCGTTTTGGAATACACGATAATATAAACAGCCAACAGACTAACCAAAGCAGGCTCTTCCCAGAAGCCAAAATTACAAGAACTGAAAAAAATATTTTAACGAAAACTCTAAAATAAAAGGAATCTGTATAAAATTTTGCAATCTGAGCCTCTTGATATACCGTGGTTTTCACAATGTAATAATAATAGGAAAATCATAAAAATAGTTTTAAGATTACGTTCTGGACATATCCTATCAAAATTGCATACATTATGAAATAAACAAACTCTCCGAATTATAATCTGTGGAGTTGAGGAGGATGTACAACATGTTTTGATGGAATGTGTCAAGAACAAAAAGGAGAGAGAGGAAATGATGGGAGCCTTGAACATAAACTCTTGCAACATAGGAATTGCGCAGTCAATCTTGTCTCTGCCAATTTAAGATGATGCAAAAAAATTATGTTGTGCAGCTTCTGTGTTCTCACAATAACATAAATAGGTATAGTGTATTTCTAATTATAGAAATGAGATGGTCACAATGGGGTTGACATATCCAAAAAGGATAAAAACACCAAAACAAATTCGGATTAAAAAAAAAGACTCGTAGTGCTCACAAAAATGTTTTTTTCTTAAAACTTTAATAACTTTTTAAATAAAGAAATCATAATTTATTTAGACTACGGCGAAGTTAGACACTTAAAAGAATTAATTGACTTTCTATTACAAAAAAAAATGTATTGCAACCAACTAGTGGTGCGTTAAGATATAATGTTATTCTGCCGCAAATTATTATGCATTCAAATGTGTTCTTTACGCAACTCAACAAATTTTAAATTTAAATATACCCTCTGTGTCAGATTTGTAAGTTTGAACATAACATAATCCACTATAAGAATCCACATACTACTATTATTTTTTGTTCTACCTATTATGGAAGAATAACATTATTAATATCTTACCACTTATATTTAATATTTTACCACTTATGGTAATATATTAATTTTTATTAAATAGTATCTGGTGGCAGACTGGACACTTTCTTTTATTTACATAGATAAAATTTTGTAGACCATTAAGTCCACGTCTGTTTTAATTTTTTCACCGAAAATACATTTTGCGCTCATTAATTAAACGAAACGAAAAAGTCAACTTAATATCGAATGCCTAAATGTAATCCAACATTGAAAATATAAATAACCGTACTGACCCAGCTTGCTGCGACATTTAGGCTGCAGTTGATATGATTTTTTATGGGCATAAAAGGCCCTCGACGGTACGTTGGGTACAGTGACACAGTTAATGTCTACGTTAAATGTAGGATAGCATAAGCGACTTACGGTTTGCCACAATAATGTAGCGTAAGCCTACAGTCGTAGTTCTAACGCCCTTGCTTCCGGTGCGGTCGTACGAAGCCATAGACTAAAACTTGTTTTCAATAAGTCCTATCAAAGTTCGGTTAATGCTACCTTAATTTTAAATTAAACATCGCGTTTTAAAAGCGGAGTATTGTATTTAGTTTATTATATAACTTCCAACGTGAACCTTTTGTAGGGAAAGCGTGGCAAGTTCTGGCGCCAAAAACATTAGTTTTCGTATTTTGAGTACCAATTCGGAAACACTAGCAATATGAGAGCGTGCAGAGACGTTTTTCAAATAACATTTCTTTATATAACTGCAGTTGAAGTCGGTGAGTTCTACCAATATTAAATAATATAAATCTTATAGAATAAATTAGAAAATAAAAGATGTAAAATGAATGTAACAAAAAATAATAAATGAATATAGAACTTAAAGATCCTTTAAAGAAAGGATCTTTTACTTTTATATTTTTTTATACTGTGTTTGAGAAAAAAGAAACCAAGCTAAAATCTTTTGTACATATAAAAAAATAATTGACTCCGTAATTACTACAAAGTACTATTAACGGATATAAAATTTTAATTTCATGTGATTAAATGTTCTTAAGCGCATTAATTCTCAGCAAGGATTAATGCTGTAAACGTAATAAGCTAAAAATAATTGCGTAGTCTAAAACACAATTTTAAGAAAAATATTTATCGAATGAGTATTTTTGTATCGATATGATTTGTACTTTAACTAAATAATAAAAAAATAATTGTATAAGTATCAAGTCTTTTTTCCGAAATACATTTCTGTTCTTTATCCGTTATAACACTTATTTAATTTACAGTCATAATAAACCAAATTTAGGGAAAGGCATAAAATACAAAAAAAAACTCAAATCTACGTCAGAGATAATGGGATATCTTTGGCTCTACTTGTTAAACAGTTCTTTGTATTGAATGCACTTTTCAAAAATTAACTCTTTTTCAAATCTACTTTTTAATAATTACAAAAATAAATTAAATCAAGTAAACAGTTTCAATAAGCTACCGTAACGAATGCCTTATCCTAACATTAAAATAGTGATCGCCAATCACAATTCAATTTGAACCAGAAAACATATTAAATCATGTCTTATGAAATTTTAAACATGGCCGTTTTAACAAATAGAAATTCCTTCCATCAGCGTCAGGGATATGACGTTGATTACTGTCAAGTACAAATATGTCAGTAATTTTGTAATTTCAAATCATACAATTCCTTTCGCTTGTGCCATCAAGTCTCAACGAGGTTAAATATTAATTATTGTATAAGCTTGACTATAATCCATTTGCAAGTTAAGCGTAATTTAGTCAAAATGTGTGAGCTAATCCTTCTAAGCCCATTCAAAGCTGTGTGATGACACAGTGCTGCTTATTTCAAACTAGCTACTGCCTGCGACTACGTCTGCGTAGGATAGGATTTAGACGTAACATTCAGGCAAAAAGATTAAAATATATAAAAATATTTATATAACAAACATCCATCCAAATTTACAAACTTTCGCCTTTATCACATTAGTAAGAAATTAAGGATAAGAATTAAAACAAACCGACTGAATCCAAATTAAAACAAATAAAGAAAAAAAAATCATTAATGTCCACGCAACAAGTTGTGAATTTGCGAGTATGATTTTAATAAAGTCCAAGTTAACACTTCAAAGTATTATATCCAACCCTTTTCCCTGCTCACCCCTAAAATTAAAGCAGACGTGGGTTGGCAATTTGTGTGTAATTAAAACACATTCGTGCCCCCAAAATGCAGCAACTATGAAACGCATTGGTTTATTTCTTTTCGCATATTTTTAGAACTTAACAACGTGTCGCATCGAAGAGTGAAAATGAAGTGTGTTCCCATTAAAGTAACGACGCCTCAAATAATTATTATCGAAGTAATGTCACTACACGAAACATAATTATGTATGTACTACACATACATATTTTGTACGAGTATGAATGAACATATTATTTGACCCGAAAGTAATTTTAATTAAAACTCAATATAATTTTATTGCTGGTTACTTATTAAACCGTGATTAATATTGATTTAAGATCGTTAATTATTTCTTATAATGAACGAAAATTAATGTTGAGAATTGTTAATTGATAAATAATACCTGCGGCAATAGTTGTTAGAACCCTTTATTGTTTCCTATCCCACATGGATTACGCTAACTTTCCCTTTATAATTTCATACGTAAAACATCACTTTTCCCAATCTATGATATCTTTATTATATTAACTAAATGTTATTTATACACATATAATTAATTCGATCCACAACACAGTATGTGTTATTTTACTTCTCAAACGCCGCGATGTTGATGATAACAGCGATGGCTCGTGTCGATGGAAGTGGATGTCTAATGACAAATCAATCGTATCTCCCTAGGAAAAGAAATTATTTCGTAGCAGCAACAGTAGCGTTGCTGTATAAATATTTTTTTGTTTATTTTTGTTTGCATCAATCCCTTGTTAGGCCTTGGGAGGCCTTTACAGATCCACGGGGCTTGAAGTTGCCGGGCGCTGAGGGCGCCTAGCCTGTACCTCGATTATGGGTGTCTAAGCTTAAGAGCTCCCGAGGGAGCCTCGACTAGGGCCGTCACCCTATTAAATATGAGTAGGAGAGTTTTTGCCGGGGGAAATACCACCAATATTTACGCAAGCTGTGGGTAGAGGTTAGAGAGAAATTTACACGGTGGTAGGGCCACGCATCAGCCTCGGCTGTTGCACGAATGGGCGGGCCCGCCCGGGTAAGTAGCACGACTTCACAGAAGACAAGACCAGCGTAAAGTGGAAGTATGACAAATACTTTCGCGTTTCGTCTGGTGAGTGAGGTAGCCGGAGCCGAATCTTCAAAAGGGTGTCAACGCATCTGTAACCCTCGGGTGTAGCAGATGTCCATGGGCGACGGTATTCACTTAACATCAGGTGAACCGTCTGCTCATTTGGCAACTTTTCACATAAAAAAGGTAAGAGGTAAATTAGAATCGCTCTCACAGGCGACTGCATGAACAAGTATTTGAAAACAGATTTGCATCTTACCAGATTATTGAGATAACCGGAGGCTCCTTATGCAAAAGGTTGCTAACCTTACCTTGTGTGTAACCTTATACCTGATACCAACAATTGTTTTAGGTTCTCGTATACCACCAAGTGAACCTTGTTGTTCATTTGCCAATTCTGCCACACCATATTATTGCCACAAAAACGTCATATTATAATGCAAAACATTGGCTTGCTATTGCCACGATAAATAAAACTCGCGAATAGTTTTGTTTTTTGTAAATCGGTGCGAGACACTGTGCATTTGAAATTCGCCAGGATACAATGGATGGACCTATTCGTGGGGGGAAGGCTCAGTAGCGGTTGCTTGGTCTCCAACGGTGAAGCAAAGATCCCTCTTGGAACGATTCCTCATTTGCCCAGCATGTGGTATAAGCCGCCCCTAGAAAGCCATTGAGCCCACTCACTCATTTATTCTTGTTCTCCTTTTCGCAGGCGGAGTACAGAAGTTTCTAGAAACTCCCTCGTATACGGAAGTGGACCCTGGGGAGGACGCGCTGCTCAAATGCCGTATATCGGAAAAGAAGGGTGTATGTTCTTGGCAGAAGGATAACAAGGTATATCTTCGTTTAATTGGTGTAATTTTCACAGTAAGTGTTAGTGGACGGCATATTGTAAATTTTTACAAAAAGGCGAACATAAGATGCTCTTAATAACCTTAAAGATCTTACTTACACTGTGCACTGACGAGAAAAACAGCCACTTCGAGTACCATATATTTTTTATCAAAATATTGCGTCCTAATATTAATTGTAATGAAAATATGAGCATCCACGGAACAAAGTGTACATAAAACGGTGACTTTCCGGAACACTGAACAAGTGTTTTCAATATCATTAAAAACATCAAATACAAGATAGTGAAATTGATCTTTGGTTAAAATTCTCATAATCAGAGGCTTGTTCTTTTTCTTTTAAAACATTGCCCTGACTGTAGAATAGCATTACCCTGTACTGTACCATTTGCAAACATAAATTTCACGCAGACTAACAACCAGATCCGAAACAATTATCTATGTGACGCACAAATAGTTGTCCCGTGCGGAATCCGAACCCACGGCTCCCTGCGTCGAGGCCGATACTTTAGCAACTGTGCCACGGAGTTCCTTTGCTTAGCGATCGCGTCAGTAATTAGCCCATCAAACATCTAAATAAATACAGCAAAAAGAGATTACAGTTATTACCTGACGCGGTATTTCCCCGGTCGAGTCGACCTTTTCACGCAGTGCATTCAGTAATTAAACCGCGACAATAGTCCTTCCAGCTTCTACTTCAGGAGTAGAGGCGCTTTGAAATAGCCGTGTACTCGGCACGATTACGAAAAAAAGTTTAGAAAGTTTAATTGTAGCCTAATACTTTGAGGCCATTATGTGTCTATCTCAGTATGTTTTACTAAACTCACTCCACCAAGGGAAAACGCAACTATTGTGTTCATTGGATGATGTTTTCGCTTTCAATCAAGTGAACTGTCTAAAGGTTCATCGGAGACACAGTTAAATGCTTATGAGTAGAGTAACCTATGTATGTATATATGTAATTTTTATAATAGAATTCTATACTATACTATAACTATTGTTATATCTATATCCCCAATTGACGCTACGTCAGATAAAATAGATCATTGTATTGACAGTATGGAAGCCATCATATTATATATAATGCCCCATTTATGTAACATGATCTAAAGAGAGTTACAAATTTATAAATTCACATACTACGACTGTAAAAGTTGAATTATAGCACAAACAAAACGATCTTATGCACATACACACACGCACGCACAATATTGACATTTTTTTAAGTATTAGAATGTAATTTTTCTTTAAATTTCATTTATATTTTTGATTTTAAAAAACTTAGATTTATTCGGACGGTTATGGGAGTAGTGTTTCGTTCTCTTACGCTCGATGACGTAAAGACCCCGTGTGGAGGGTGCAGTGGGCACAGACGTCGAAATATAATTGGCGGGGGCGACGATCACGTTGTTGTGAGCGGCTTCGACGGCTTTTTCGGTATCTTTGTGACAACCAGTCCCAGACGTCTGGGAATGCATCGCGTTTGTTACGCGTCCACGAGTTCGCAGTCGACAGCGAAAGCGGTTCTGAAGCTAATAATACTAAAATACCACATCTAGGGTTTATTACAAATTGTTATAGCTTGCGTCAGATACTCTTGGGTACACAGATACAGCAAACGGTTTATCAAAAAGAGTTATTTGACGTCATTCAGGCGAGTTTGGGTGAGTAAGTAGGAATTGTAAGTGGGATTAAGTGTAGCGTGGCTCTTTATGTGTGTTTTGCTACATTCTGGAGGTTCACGTCTATTCTCCATTTGTGAAATCGATTGCTCTGTTACGGATGGACTTGGAAGATGACTGCATAGAGGAGTGAATTTTCATCCGCTAAAAGTGTGCAAAGTTTTTGAAGTGAGTCATTCGGAATTTCACACATGAAGGGCAAATTTTATTAATTATAGATAGAAGTACAGGATTGGCTGCTACAGTCAGATTGAGATCCTAATAGGCCCAAACTAACTGCTGCAAGACAAGATATAAATGGCACTAGGCCAAGGTGATCGAAAACGAAACGAAACGAAATCGAACACGAATTTAATAATTTAGATACTGGTAGTAGCTCTAAGCTAACATAATGACATTCAGACGTCCAACGTCTCTGTCGGGCCCGAGATCATGAACGCTGTAAAGTTTTAAGGGTTAGAAACTACGAGAATTTAAATTAAAATAAACTCGATAATTCCATTAAAGAACCCTGTTGAAATTAAAGTTGAGAAATGTTACGTCAGGTTACGTCTGGTTAGTGAGTTAGCCCAGACCCACTTTATAAAAACGCATCTGCAACCTTACAGTGTTGCAATATTCACTTGATTATCGTCGATTAACACTTAATTGCAGGAGTACCGCCAGTTTACTTGCCATCATCTTCTTACATAAAAAAAAAAACAATATTTCAGTGTTGTATTAATTTGTTTCATTTGTAATTTATGAAATTTATTTATTTTTAATTAATGATAACTTATTCTGCTAAATAACGAATCGTATCATTTACAAAGCAATCGGAAAACTCGCTAAGCTCGTCGTTATATCTCAGCAAAAACGGATAGAAGCGGACCCATAATAAACTTCGTAGACATTCTAAGTTAACCGACAGCCTGTAATGATAACACGATCCTGTTATAAAGTAAAGTTGTTGTTAACCAACAACTGTTGTTGCAGATACATGATAGCAGAAAATTATTAAGTTTATATACATACATGCTAACATAAATATAGCGTCCCGTTTCTACTAGTGTAAGAATAGTGTTCGGTATTAGTGTTTCAACTTTTACATACACTTTTCTTTTTATTTATTAATCAAGAAAATATACAAAGATATATGCTTACATAGCTATTCACGCCAAACTTTTACGTTTGATGGCGAGACATGCCCGATTTTCAACATAATATCTTCGAAGTATAGAACTCATTCATTTTTGTAAATTATACACAGATATAAAACTATCAACTATCCTGTCTTTGTATTTGGATTTCATCAAATCTCACAATCAAATTTAAGATTAACTCCAGAGTAAACAGACTTTAAAAAGGTTAACGTTCAATAGGGCTACAACTATTTCCTTTGGTTATATTTTTAAAAAGAAAAAAGTAAATTAACAGCCTATACATGTCCCACTGCTGGGCAAAGGCTTCCTCTATACAGAGGGTATCAGAGCATAGTCCACCACGCGGCCCCACTGCGGATTGGCGGACTTCACATATCTTCGAAAAATATTTTTTTTGTTATTATTTCGAAAATATGCAGGTTTCCTCACGATGTTTTCCTTCACCGCGGAGCACGTGATAAGTCAGCACTTAAAGTTAAAAACGTCATTGGTGCCGGCGCCGGGGATCGAACTCAGGTTGCTCGAGTATATTGAATTAAAGGCGAGCGCCCGGACGCTGAGCTATCACGGCTCTTGATATTTTTATCCCTTAAATTAATTTCTATTGCACCCACATTGATTCTGATGCATTCATTAGATTCATTGCGAGTAAAAAGATTTAAATTTAATCATATATTTAAGAATACAATACAATATCAGCCTATTGCCGTCCGCTGCTTTAAACAAAGCCTTTAGAAAACGTCTCGGAACATTTCCTCCATTACCAATATGACGGACGCAGTTGCCAAGCAATGGGTTTTCACCGCACAGAATCGTGTATCAATTTCCCGTTCGGGATAAGTGTTCCTATGAACTTGAAATTGTTGCGGATATGAGTAGGGCAGCTATACGACCGCAAATTGTCATCGCGCAATAGTTCCAATGTAGATCTGTATAAAGCGCAACCTTACAACAAAGTATAATCTAAGCCTGAGAAGGTTGAAGAAGAGGAATAATATTTAACAAAAAAACCGACTTCGAACCGGAAACTAAATAAAACATTGTTAATACCTATAAGATTTGAGGTTTGCCCTTATTACCCTTGGGATACCTTCTTTCCACAAAAAAAGAGTCAACAAAATCAGTTTATAAACGACGAAGTTATCTGCGAACACACATAAAAAATATATATACGGTCGAATTGAGAAACCTCCTTCTATTTTGAAGTGGGTTAAAAATGCTATAGTATAGGAAAGTGTTAATGGATGTAAATCGTTGTGAAGTTTTCCAAATATTTTTATTTTTTAAACTAGGCGAACCAATCGTAGCGCAACAGACTACATTGTTGACATAAATAATCGTTACTCTTTCTAATAAAATCATAAAAAATGTTAATCCTTAATACGGATTGATAGACACATCACATATTTTGTTATATTTTTTTAGACAAACAGCTCTCCAAAAACGTTTCCTTCGCAAACATTTTTTAGAGGTAATTCAACCCTTAAGTGACACCGTGGTGCTTCCCCAGCCGGTGGGCATGTACCGCGGGAAATACGACTGGGTCACCGTTCGGAGCATAGTCAGCGGCGATTGCTCCGTCTGGGTTCGCGCCGTGGAGCTCCAAATAGACGACGGCGCATGGAAGTGCCAAGTCACCGCCAGCAGCTACAATGTGCAGGTTGTTTCTTCGTTTTTTTGACAAAACAAGCAAACTATATATTTTAAAACAAAGTCGTCTCGCTGTCTGTCTGTCCTTATGTATGCTTAGATCTTTAAAACAACGGATCTTGATGCGGTTTTTATACTAGTGATTAAAGAGGAAGGTTTATTATGTATAATACATTGCACCCGTGCGAAGACGGGTCGTGTCGCTAGTAATATATAACACTTAATTTGTTCAACACAATGCATCATTCTTATACTAATTTTTTTGATCGTGTATTATGCATATATTTCTTTCTATCTTGGATCTTACGTTTATATTTTCAATACGTGAATTACTTTTACAATAAAAAGGCAAACCACACATTCGCATTTATAATACTTATGCAGAAATGTTAGGTACTATGTTATTGATTTAAATTTAGTATAATTAATTATTGGACCGTATCAACAAAAGTTACCGACTGTGCTTATCGCTAAAGAAGTCAAATTTAGTTATGATTTATTGCAGGATGCCCTTTCGAGTTCCGCAGCTCAGCTCGTGGTGCGAGCGTCCCCACGACCACCCGAGATCCTACATAATGGATCCCATGGCCTCCCTAACTCGCTACTGATAATACCCGCTGGCTCCAGAACGACCTTCATCTGTGAAGCGAAATACGGAAATCCGCCGGCTTACATAGAGTGGTACTTAGGTAATGACTGCAACATCACATTTTTTTTTTTTCTAAGAATACATAATAACTTACAGGCGTTATGTCGGATAATGTTATATACAAATAGATATAGACATTACACTATCGCGCCGAAGCTGAGGTATTCCAGAACGGCAGTTGTTGTAATTGATTAGTCTGCTATCTCTTGCTTAAATACGTCGTATAATGATAAATCCCAGCAGCATCTTTGCTGTTGCACAAATGGGTAGGTCCGTCCGTGGAAATATCACTACGTACCTTTAATTGTATCTCTACTGTCTGTAAAAATATATTTTTATCTATACTTTTAAGATGAATACTGAGTCAAACTTTGTATAAAAAGTATAAAAAACGTACATTTAAGTAACAGCCTATACATTTCCCACTGCAGGGCAAAGGCCTCCTCTGTACAGAGAGTATCAGAGCATAGTCCACCACGCGGCCCCACTGCGCATTGGCGGACTTCACATATTTTCGGAAAATTTCTTTGTTATAACTTCGAAATTATGCAGGTTTCCTCATAATGTTTTTTTCACCACTGAGCACGTGATAAGTCGGCACCTAAAATTAACAATTTCACTGGTGCCGGCACCGGATCGAACTCAGGTTGCTCGAGTATATTGAATTAAAAGCAAGCGTCCGGACACTGAGCTATCACGGCTGCACGATATCAGCCCGTGTATACCTTTTCCGAATGCTGTTTCTATTTTAGACGAAATTCGCATCACGGCGTGGCGTCAAAAGAATGTGTCGGAGATGGGCCATCCGCGAGTGTGGTCAGCCCGTTCCGTCCTGGAGTTGGATGCGACCAAGTCGCTCCACGAGAAGCGGCTATCTTGTCGGGCTCACCACCCTTCCTACCCAGCACCATACTATCGCGACGCTTCTACAAAACTTAACGTCACCTGTGAGTAAATTTTTACTTCACTCCTAACTCTATGATCACTCCCAAGAGGTATGTTTTTTTTTTATTCAATTTTAATTGCTTCTTTTTTATTTTATTTTTTTCATGTACATCCATTAACACTTCCTTTTGGTAAATTTCTGAGATTGCCGATCGCCTTTTGATTACCAATATTTGATAAGTATTTTGTTTTTTGTACTTTTTTATTTTTTGGTGTATACAAAGCCTAATATAAATATACAGCGTGTCGTTACCATCGCGACAATAAATGAACACACATATAGGGGATAACTTTTTAAAGTTGTATTAAACATTTATTCATTTTTTAAACATCAATATTTACAGAGTTATTAAATTTTCCAAAACAAAGAATTTTAGAACACCCTCACCTATAAAAGCGTAACTTAAAGTTCATTTGTAAAGGTCACAAAGCATATGAATGGGTTGAATGAATTTAAAAGAGACAAAACATACTGTTAGAAGGAGAGGCTTGTAATGCGACGCTGTGGCGCGAGTTGTATAGTATGTTACAAAATTTGTTTCTTTTTTACTTAATTAGTTTGTTTGAAAAATAATTTTTTTTAATTATGGATTTTGTTTAACGTTAATATTTTTTTATGATTATTGGCACGTAGCGTTAGACGTGTGTTCATTTATTGTCGCGATGGTAACGACACGCTGTATATGTATTCAACTGTTGAGCATTTAGAAAATCTATAGAAATCACCAGATTTTCTTCCCCCAAACATTCCAAGGGAAAAACTCTAACGTCCCAGTCATCAGAATAACATTTAAAAAAATGGAATTATCTTGTATCTTCATATATTAACAAACATACCGCTCGATTTATATATAGTTCTGTTTTAGCCTCATCGTCTGTTTTTAGATTCACTTCAGGTTATTGCCCTCCTTGAGGCTATTGCATGAAGATGGCATTTCAATAAGATGTTCTCATATCAAACGTGTTGCAATAAATTCTAAAGTTTCAAGAGATTCTTACATTCTACATAGCGTTACATAAAAAGGTTTCGCGTTTAGTTATGATTTTACTACCACTATTGATGTATGTCTCTTACAGATCCTCCTACAGTGTCTGTAGCAGGGGCAGACGAAAAACTATCAAGCTTAGAAGAAGGAAAAAATAACGTGAGCTTAAATTGCAAATTTGATGGAAATCCTGGAGCCTTTGCCTGGTGGAAGAAGGATGGAGAGGTCGTTGCCACCCACCGTAAGCTTGTCATTGCACCTGTGACCAGAAATCATTCAGGTAATCCCACCTTAGACGTATAATATAAAATATATTTGGGTTAGGGCCACGCAGCAACCTCGGCTGTTGCACGAATGGGCAGTCGTCCAGGTAAGTACGACGACCTCACAGAAGACCGCCGTGAAGTGGAAGTATAATACTTCCGCGTTTCGCCTGGTGAGTGAGGTGGCCGTAGCCAATTTTCAAAAGGTTGTCAACGCATCTGGAACCCTCGAGTGTAGCAAATGTCTATAGGCGGCGGTATTCACTTAACATCAGATGCACCGCATGCTCGCTTGGTTACTTTTCACATAAAAAAAATAATAATATTTATTCATGGATTATTATTAATCAATTTTCTTGGATCTACTCGTATTTATAGATTTCTTCTTTGAACCGTACTAGACAGTTTTAATAATACAAAATTTTCAACAGGTCTTTACGAATGTCAAGCAAAAAACTCCATTGGAACTTCATTACCTGTGATAGTTGAAGTAGATGTTAAATGTGAGTATTATGATCAATGATATTATATACTATAGTAATGACACTAACGCACACGAAACTGAGGAACTCTAAATACGCCAATTGGTGTCATTATAGAATTACAACAATCTATAGAGATTGCTATCTCTTTCCACATCATACCTATAATATCACCTGTCACTTTCAGTTATACTCGTATATGTCATAAAACGTAAAGCGGAACAATTTTTAAACGCCAAGCAGTAGCGTTTTACAACGATAATTCGAAGTTGTTTGTACGCTGGAAAGGATATAACAATAGATTGCGCCAAGCATTGCTTCAAATGCTAAGAAAACAATATGGAAGAATGCGTTAAGATTTTCGTCGGTGTGGCAATCAGCCGTTTAGCTCAGTGGCTAGAGCGTCAGGCCGCGAATGCCGAAGACGTGGGTTCGATTCCCACAGCGGCGACAATCTTTTCGCACTTTTTCTACATATTTTAAATATATGATATTTAAATATTATAAAAATTTTAAAAAATCGTATTTCGTATTGAAAGAATTTACTATCATTTTGTAGACAGATTTTTACGACCTAGTCTACAGCAAAGAGGGCAAATGATTAATTCTTTAGATGTTCTCGCTATTGTTTGCTTTTTAACATATTTCTTTCAGTTGCTCCTCGAATCACATATGTTGGACCGAAGGCCATCGTCAATGCCAATCTCCACTCACAAGTTACTCTGGAATGTAGAGCGGAGGGCAATCCGTTGCCAACATACCACTGGTACCATTAGTAAGCGACTAGTTTTGTTTTTATTTATTTGAATAGGCTTACTAACTAAACACATAGTTATAAATTATTTATATAAGATATATTAACACAAACCTACTTCCTAGATAATTAACGCAATATTTAAATATAAAAGAAAATAAAGAAAAAAGCTATGGGTTTTTGTAAATGTTTATATCACTGATATAGTTTAATAAAACGAAAACACATAATTTTCGACTAAAAGGTTACAACATTTTTTTTCTCGCGTTTTTTGCTAGCCCCGTTTATAATGTAATGACACTTCGTTAGTAACTCGTAATGATAATGTTGAAAAAACTCAATGTAAGGAGGCGAAACATTAAAGTTTCCCAAACATTAATTGGTGTACTCTATCACTTATTACTTTCCTTACAGCCCGGTGCCGACATCTGTCAATGCTTCAGAGGAAGGTTATTTAATATCATCCGAGTCACGTCTTCAGATATTCAATGTTTCGTACTCTGAACGCGGTCGATACGTTTGCGTCGCGCAAAATGTTATTGGACTGCTGGAAAGGTTACTACGCAGTAATGTGTGAAAACTAACTTAAATACATATTAGTCATGTAATCTGAATCAAAGTATCAAAGCATATATCGATTTATTGCATTTAAAAGAATATTATACATAAAGTAAAAAAGTAAAGTATCAGCCGCACAGAGGGTATCAGGTCATAGTCCACCACGCGGCCCCACTGCGGATTGACATACTTCGAATATGCAGGTTTCCTCACGATGTTTTCTTTAACCACTGAGCACGTGATAAATGGATAAGTATGGACATATATTATACATGGTGAAATGAAACCATTTTAAGCATTTTATCGCATTTAATTATATGTTAAAATTCCCGGCGTTTCTTTTGTATTTAAAAGAAATCAGACTTATGTATTTATTGGTTCGCCATTATACACTACCAATCTTAGGGATAATTGTTTTTTTAACATTGCCCTTACTTTAGGATAACATTATCCTGTGTTGTTAATTTCACGTGGACAAATACGCAGATTCGGAACAACTATCTGTGGGTCACACAAATAGTTGCCCGTGTGGGAATTGAACCCTTGGAATCGAACACTTCCGTAAAGTATTATGACCAACAAAAGGGACCCCAATCCATGGATGTCTCGCGTAATTATTTGTTTATAAATAACATTTTCAAGCTCTTTCACCAATGGCAATAAAAACTCAAATATACTCCTGTGTTACCTAAGTTGAAATGGGCCTTGAAGTCTTACAAATCTCAAACATTTTGGGCGGTGTTACAGAAATTGTAAAACATTTAAAAAATGTGATTTACTATACAATAAAAAAGGGGAGTTAAAATAGAATAGAACGTACCTATCAACAATTAACAGCACAACGGGTGACCTCTAATATTAATTTTTAAATCACCTATAATAATAAAATGCGATCACACAAGTAAAAAACAAGTATAAAACTTATCAACAGTTAAAAAGTAAAACGGCTTACCTATTTACTAATATTCATTTTTGAATCACCTAATAAAATGCGATCACACAATGATTTCCTTCAAATTAGTAGTTAATGAGTATTTTTTATCCTTTATTAATGTTTGGATTTTCTGTAAACACTGTAACCACCTGAAACCAATACTTATACGATTCGCTTTAATTATCTGATTCTTCATTATAATCCTTATACGATTAACAATCAATAATATTATAAATAATGACTAATTAATCCAAATGTTCATCATCATGTCAGTTCTAAATTTGGATGGATGAATGAAAATGGATATAGAATAATTAAGAAAAGGAATCTCAATTGCACAACTTTGCTTTCAAAATAACATGATTAATTCCGCGTAGAGCCGACATTACGTAGCGAATTGCTACCTAATCAGGTAGCATTCGTAGCTTCGTAGCTCTCTGCGGGTGATCGCCCTTCATCATCGACCGCCAAAACTGATTACATCCCGCTGACAGCCTATATGGGTACTGCTTCGATACGCAGTGTATTCGGCACTCTATTCGCACGTCTTAAAACTCAAACTCAATTGGATTCAGCTCGGCAGCCGCTTTTACAAAGCGGAGCCGTGAGTATTGATTCCGTTTTGGTTGGAAAAATTCATTCGAGTAACCGTCATTCCATCGGTGGCATCTAATTTGGTTCCTTCGATTATTTTCGCTTCAATGCACAAACAAACTGTTAATTAATTGAATTATTCATTTACCACTTCATTTAAAATTTATAAATTTTAAATGAAGTGAATTAATTTAAAAAGATATATGAAGTCCGGCAAGCCGCTGTGGGGTCGCGTGGTGGACTATGTCTTACGGTGTAGATTAGGCCTTTGACCAGTAGTGGAACATTTATTGGCATTATGTTTTACATGCATACAACCTCGAATGACCAATAGTATCGGACAACCCGCCACTAGATAGAGTGACCACTACGAAGGTCTATATCCAGCAGTGGACTAAAACAGGCCGAAATGATGATGATGACAGGTTGAATGAATGAATGAAATATACTTTATTGTACACTACAATTTATATTGTATAATCAACAACAAAGAAAAAAATGTCAATAGGTGGCCTTATCGCTAGAAAGCTCTTTCTTCCAGGCAACCTAGAAAAAGTAGACAATAGTCAAATTAAAAGTCAAAGTCAAATATCTTTATTCAATATAGAAGCATTCACTTACTTATTGATAGTCAAAAAACTCTACCACCGGTTCGGAAGGTAAGCCACTGACCTGAGAAGAACCGGCGTAAGAAACTCAGCGGGACATTTTTTTTTACTTGCCAAAAAAATTACAAATATGTGTACAATAATTAAACTCCACTTGAAAGAGCCTGGAGCGATCAATTCATTTCCATAGTGTGTTATCATTCAGATAATCACTAATACTATAATAGCAATTAACACACAAACGTTCCTTTACAAGTTTTTTGAATTTAGCAACGGATTCATTTTGAACGTTTTCTGGGATTTTGTTGTAAAATCGTATACATTGTCCCATAAAAGATTTACTTATTCTACGCAATCTAGTTGAAGGTAGAACTAATTTACGCTTGTTCCTAGTATTTACATCATGCACATTACTAAATCTTGAAAAGTCATTCTTATTTTTGTGGACATACATAACATTAGCAAGTATGTACTGAGAAGCTACAGTCAATATTTATATTTCTTTAAACAGGTTTCTTAGTGAATATTTGGGGCCCAGGTTATAAACCGCTCGAATAGCTCTCTTTTGCAGGATGAAAATAGTATTTATGTCGGCTGCATTTCCCCAAAGTAGAATGCCATAAGACATTAAACTCTGGAAATAGCTAAAATATATATAAAACAGTAGTATCGAGTTAGGGTGTACACTGAAGAGATAACAAGAACTGATAAATGAAATATAAGCATTTGATTTCTTAGTTCTTGTTATCACTTCAGGTATACAGTATCTATCTCAAATACTTTTAGTGAACTATAATCCATTTAACACCGATTCAGGACTCACCGCTCAGAAGCAGTGAATCTAAACGTCCTAGGCCCGCCCGTTAGTCCGACGACCGGACCAGCTCATGGTTGGTGCGGCAGCGAAGCCAGCATACGAGCTACTGCATGCGCTAATCCACCACCAAAAGCGGCCTTTTGGACTTGGAACAGCGTACTTTTGGCCGTACCAGCGGAAACTGGTATACTTCTATATCTTAAATGTTCCATCATTAAATCAGTACTATTCTGTTTTTTTTTTTTTACTATTCTAAAGCCAAGATTCTCACCAGAGGACGCTCACGCAGACTTTATTATATGTTAAGCATAAAAAACAATGGTGTTTCTTTCCCAAGGACGGTCACGTCAGGCAGGCTGGCGGTCGTAAAAGAAAGCCAAAACCGGTTCCAACATGATTCACATGTTGTGAACCTAAGTGGGATAGCGGTAGAAGGATGATGATGATGAAGCATGAAAAACAATGCTTGTATTCTTTTTGTACCCTTCTAGAGCCAAGTTTCACAAGACGAAACGCAGAAGTTCTATGCTTCCACGACCTACCGGTCTTCTGTGAAGCCGTGATACTTTTCTGTATAAGTAAAGCGGGCTGATTATATCTATTCAGGATATTTCCTGGCTTCTGAGCAGCAGCAGTAGCTGATACATGGCCCAGGAAAATTGAATTTGAAATTCTACAAAAAAAATGTAAAATTGCAGATATTCCTCTTTTTATATCTACTTATTATAATTAGCAACGTCGTCACAATTATTTCACAGATTATATTAGATGTAGTTTCAACCAATGTACGTATTAAGCACAAAATGCCCGTTGCCTTTCAGATCGTTTCAAAACGTTGGAATACGAAACCGTGGACGATTGCTATCACTATACACTGATTATAAAAGGAGTTGTCATTTCCGATGCGGGGCACTATGTGCTGCATGTGGAAAATGACAAAGGCTTAACCACACAGTCCATCTCTTTCACTGTACATGGTACGTCTGATAATAGACAACGCTCTCAGCCTAGCGAGTACTACACATAACGGGCATAAACACCCTTCAAATCGTGTTAGTTTGCTTTGAGAGGTTCTCACTATTTAAGATATCATCAAACTTTACAAGACTGCGTTGCCAATCCCTAAAACAGTGGGCTTCAGCTACCTCACTTACCGTGCGAGACTCAAAGATATTATTAGTACTATCATTTCACACTAGCCTTCTGCGAGTACATACATGCTACTTATTCGCATGGCAGCGAAAGTATTCTTTGTTATGAATATAATTACTTTATTGGAGACAAACAGGAATAGTAGACAAAAAAAATTAACATAAAGCATGTATTTTCCATGGGCTGCGGTGATCGCTTATCACCAGGTGACCCACATGCTCGTTTGCCTCCTATTCCCATAAAAAAAAAATATATATATATTTACAGTTGCTCCCTTAATTAATGTCTCACAGACAACATATATTTAATGGTAGTACACTTACAGTAGATCTATTATAATAATTATCGTGGGCACATCACTTAACAAACATTAAGGAATAATTCAATGTTAGGTATTTGTGATTTAACAGAGACTGCGCGCGTTGCTCCACTAATCGCCACTGCGCTGACCTTCGGCGGACTTCTAGTGCTGCTCCTGTGCTTAGTATTACGACGGAAAAGAGGTAGAGGCAACGTCTACGGAAACTGAACATTACCTTTCTTAGCTGACACTTTACACTGGACAATTACAGGAAGAGTATCATCGTCATCATCATTTCAGCCTGTTCGAGTCCAATGCTGAACATAGGCCTCCCACACAGATTGCCACGAATCACGATCCTGAGCCACCGGCATCCATCGACTTCCCGCACAGGTCGTCACTCCATCTAGTGGTGGAGAGTATACATACATTTAAATAAAATATTCTTCGCACGACAATGAAATAAGCTCCCTGGTAAATAGCTACATGCTTATATTGTTTGGCAGAAAACAACTGAAAAAATGAATTAGAAACAATAAATCCGAGTTTTTTAAACTATAATAAAAATGTATACTACTACTTTAACGATACTAAACTAATAGTCCAGTCTTGTAATGCCTAATCTATTGAACCAGTGGTAGTTTTTGACGTTCACAAGAGCTTTGAATAAGCCTACATTGACATTGACTTTAACTTGAGAACATGATGAAATCCATCCAGATAACGATTGAAAAACGAAAACAAAAAAAATCAATTTGTGATTGACATAAAAGAAAACTCAAATCTCGAATTGATGTCAACTGTACCTACACATTCAGTTTTATTCGCACAAAAAGATCCCACCCTAAATATTTCTTTAAAAGCTCACCCGTCGCCATCTATTCATTGACCAGTCTGCTTACAAATAGAAGTAGATTTTATATACCTTTTTCCTTGTTTCTTAGTAAACTTTCTCTTACAGATAACGTTGGATACAAAAATGATGTAATTCAAAGAAGGTAAGACATTTGAATCGCTGTTGCTGTGCCTCAGAGTAAAAGGCGATTTATCTGAAATTATCTTCGTTTAACATCAACAGAAACAAAGAGTGTTTTTTATAAATGATCTGAGCATTTTCCTGATTCTCATTATAAATAAAAAAAAAGATTTTGCTATTAAAACTAACGTCAAATATATTTTAGGCATTAAAAATGTTACACAAATCAAAATATGTATGCAATTTACGAGCCAGGCATTCGTAATTAATAACATAACAAACAAAACATACATGTGTATTAACAAGAGTGATCCAAGTGAAGGATAATGGAATGACACAATCAAAAACACAAGCACATCCCATTTACTGTACTGTGATGCTTTCCCATTGATACTGGCTATTCTTGTAAAATAGCATGTATCCTAATATTTTTTTATTATTATTTCGAAAACATGCAGGTCTCCCCACGATGTTTAACGTGATAGGTCAGCGCTTAAAATTAACAATTTCACTGGTGTCGGCACCGGGGATCGAGCAACTTGTACTTTCTTAATTGTTCCTTTTGTTCCTTACTATTTTTACAGAAGTTACCCGAAAGGCAAACACAACATGTTACCTTTTGTAACCGGCATGCATGAAATGTCATATACATTATCCAAACAACAAGAGTTGTGCGCAAAGACTTTATGCGAGGGAAATTGTACGGTGGCAAACAACTCCGTAAGTCGCATTACATACAGAAGCGTAATGGAATCACAAAATATGATAAGCTATACGCAAAACCTCCATACGATTAAGGAACCAACCCTCAATGAAGAACAACGACATAGTTATGAAGAAATATCAGATCGCTATAGGATCTAAAAGGTAATATTCATTTCTTAAACTGCTGCTTCACTGAAAATTTAAACTTTTAGCTTAAACGCTAAAAGGTATCTCAAAACACTTCTATTCTGTAATTCCAGGTGTATTTAAATAAAGTCCATAGTACAAAATCCTCTTCTACTTAGATAATAACAAAAGTAAAATAATTTTAATTTTAAACTTGAAAACGATAATTTTAAATTCAGTAGACCGGTTTGTAGCAAAGACCAATATCAAGAAATGCCTCAACGCACCAATTATTTAATCATGGTTAATGTATTTTAACTATACAGTTTTTACATTTTCTTCGTGTGGTTAACAACCTGGACTGGCGATTTGAATGGAATTAAATCCTCTACCTGTTGTTCGAGATACTTAAGCTGAAATGTTACACAACTATTTAATGAATTTATGAAATATTGACGAAAACCTAAAAAAAATATTGACATCATAACATCACCAAAGTTATGATTTTTTTTTTTATTTTATCCTTTTTGTCCTCCTCAAAATATTATAAAATCTAACTCTCAGTACATTCATGTCAGAGTTCATTTTAAACCGTTATTATTCCATCGAGGACTCCCATCCCAGTCTTTTTTATTGAATCTCCTCAATTTTATCGAGAGATTCCAATTTAGTTTCACTTTAGAAAACGGAAACGTTCCAGACTCCATAACTGGAAGATTGAAGAGCCTCGCGAGACGTTTGTTTATTGCTTACTAAAGCTAAATTTGATTTGAATATTCCATGATTTACGTATTTTTATTACTTTACCTGGATATCAACGATATTATATTAAGTTAACAGAACGAATCAAATCCAATCATGTCAAACCATCTTGAATTGCTGAATAGTAATAGAATGGATCAAAGCATTCTAATGCATACATACTAATGCAATGCACTAAGTTGTAAATGCATTGTCATTTATGACGGAAATAAATTGTTACACATTACAAGTCTTTTGTTTTATTTTAAGCTTTTTTTATGTTAGAAAATAATTCACTCGTAGCTTTTGTCTTATAATTTGTAGAATTTTACATAAACTACAAAATCTTTCCATATGTTTTTTTTTATGTGAGAAGGTGCTGAGCAAGTTACTTATTAACCCTTATGTTAAGCGATAACCTGCCCATCGATATTGGCAAATCCTTAAGATTGCAGATGACTTGCCTTATAATAAAGTGGGCCCTGATTACCTCACTCATCAGACGAATCGCAGAAGTATAAAAATTCCACTTTCCGCCGACAGCCTGTGGAAGCTTTCGGCCAAATATAAGTATTTTTACGCCATTAGTTTGTAAACTATGGAAGACAAAACACAAATATCATTGCATCATCTTTAGCTCATAAATTATTTTTTTAAAATTAAATTATTTATTTGATCAGTAAATGATATAAATTATCACTTGCACTAAAATTATTAAAACTACATACTAAGCACTAATAATAATTTTCAGCATGCATCCCTAAACACACGCACCTTGAAAGTTTATTTACAATAAAATATACAGGAGCGGCACTCAGACATATCACGCAATCAAATAGCATCGTTCCATCTATACAGGTAGAGCAGTGTGTATATTATATGCAACTATATTTACCCGAGTATTAAATCTGATAGCACTTTAAAGTGGAAAAATCCTTTGTACGTATACCCACATCCACTTCCTAAAACGCCATGCCAATCAATTGCACAGTCACGAACGCAAACAAAGGACTACGGCGCCGCAGGTGGGCCGAATACTTTTTTTTCCAAAATGGCGGCCATGCATCTATCGATTTTCATGTAATGCATTTCAGATCCATCTAATGTTAGTCGACCGTTCTGTAGATATCACCAATCCTATGCGTACAACATACATATATAATTATGTAAATATATAAGTATTATTTTACGCGTTGGTATTTAGAGAATGTGAGAAAGAAAAAATTACCGCTTAATTTGGTGCGCACCAAGATTTGGTTCAATCAATGTTTATATTAAAACACGTAGAAAACACAAAATGTGTTGCAAGCAGATTAAATTTCGAGAAAACTTGTGTGTACCTACTCGTATGTGCACATAACTTATATTATAAAATTATCTAAAAATTGTATCCCCTGTACCAACACTCTTTTTTAGTATCTAAGCATACATAGGGACAGACAGACAGCGAGTCGACATTGTTTTATATTATGTAGTGATGTTTACTATTTGCCATGGTAATACCGTGAAGTTGGTCGCTTTACCACCTCATCATGTTTGAACAACAACTTCATGAAGTTGTTTCTTTGCTGTCGGTTATTACTCTCACAATTCTTTCCAAAAGCCATAAGGAGTTGTACTTCAAAAATAAAATACTTTTTTCTTATGTTCGTAAAAGATTGTGGTCAATCCAAATAGAAATTTTCGCCAAATATAACTTTCAATTTTCTAAAAGATTAACATATAATAAATAAACAATATTAAAAAAATTCTTCCAATAAAACAAAAGCGACAAATTTAATTTGGACAGACATTAAGTTTTACATTTTAAAGTGAACCAACAAAGTCATGTGATCGCCAGTGTAATTTGAATTGTCATCATATTAAAATCTCATCATCACCGAATTACGGTGATAACAAAACTTCGATCTCACTTTTTGCTTAAAAAGTAAAGTAACAGCCAGTATAGAGAGGGTATCAGGGCATAGTCAACCACGCGGCCCCACTGCGGATTGGCGAACTTCACATATCTTCGAAATATATATAATTATAAATATATAGAAAATGAGGCTATTTCCAACTATTAAGAAGAGTTGGATTTAAATTAGAAAATTATTTTCAATAATTATTTTTTTATTATTAATAAGAATGGCACTAATTCGCAATTCATAACACTAAACATATCACAGATTTGAAATATATACATGAAATGGGCATTGGAATTGGCATATTAAATAAAATTTCAATTAATTCTTTGATTATTGATTTTATATTGAATAGTGTCTGTCATTCCTGAGTAGAGAGCCTCCAAACTTAAAATTTATCTTAAAACATGCGAAAAATTAGTCTTATTTTTATTCCCCTGTAAACGTTGAATTTAAAATTGTTTAAATTTCTGATAAGTACATGCTATTATTCCACAGGGTATTACGTAAATGATAAAAAGTTTTAAAAACACTCCTAAATTATATTTTCTTTTGTTTTGTTTTTTTTTTTGCAGGTATTTAATTTGTACACCAGAAAAGGTACAAAATAAGGGATGATACAACTTTTATGACCAATATTGTACCATATTCTAACAAATAAACGTATATTTCTTTCTTTCATTTAATGTAAAACATAATTTCCTTTGTTCGATTTACATCAGAGACGATAAGAAAATGGAAGCCCCAATACGATAATGTTAATCAAGTTAATT